TGTTCATGTTGCAATGTGTGTTCATGTTGTTCACAGTTGTGGTCATGCAGTTCGTAACAGCCCTGTGACTTTGAAGAGCACAGCAGATAGCAATGGCCCTTTCGGAGATGTCCTCAACCCTGCAGAACAGGACTGCAAGGGGCGTAAGTCCCTGCTGCATATGAGGTACAGTATTATCCTGTGACAGAGTTTACTGTGGCTGCTTGCAGGGAGTGTAACTTAACTATAAGGGCGAGGCTGCTGATACAAACCCACTTAATGTAGTAACATTTAAAATAGGGGAATGCTTTTCTTTCAGGTCTAGGAGGATGGACATAGGCAGCAGACAATTGATGATAGTAGTCAACAAGTGTGATGTGAACAGTAAGCCACCAGAGTCATCAAAATATGACGTTAATTTCCATACCAGTCCTTCTGTGCCTGCTGTTCGCACTAAAGCCCTGAGTGTTCCATCGGCTGTACGCAACAAGCCACAGCCTTTCAGAACCAGGTAACACTCCAAGCACTGTGTTAGGGAGGAGGTGGTGTGGCACAAAGATTGACCTGGCTCATGAGAGGCTTCTAAGGTTCTATGATTGTCAGTGTTTTTGCTTTAATTGCTTGTGCAGCAGTTACGTGTTTTCTGCCGTGTTGTCCCTATCTAAGCACTGCACCATGAAGATGTACAGGTAGACTAGAGGTAAACCTCCATGAAATTTTGTAGTTGTTGGTGTTTCAGCTTGAGTTCCCCACCCAGTAAACAGCGTCGGGTCTTGTCCCGTCTCCGCCTGCCTCAGGACTGTCGAGCAAAGCGGACCCTTACCTACACGCAGTCAGATCATATGTAAGTGCCACGTTGTGTGTTAGAAAACAATTAGCACGGACCACAGAAAGTAGGACTCTGGAACTGAGTGTACAGTAATACATTCAGTGCACCCAAGTATATGCATGTTGCGATGGAGAGGGGAGGTGGCAGGAAGAGGACGAGGTTTGTTTTGTCATGTGGTCTTGTGGATGTAAATCCAGTGTTTCTGAGGACCATACTGCCTCCATATTTATGGTTGAAGTGTAAATGGTTAGGATTTTCATGGCATGAGCAGGGTTAGGCAGAGAATCACGGGAGGATGAGGAAGGAAGATGGAGGCAAGTTGGGCCAGTAGGAGTGAAATTGCCCTTTTCAGTGCTGGATCAAGAGGAAAAGCACTTGTTTAAAGGGTCTTGAGAGATGAAGGGTCAAAAGGCAGTGCTGTATTTGGCTGTGGGTTATGAATAAATGGTCTCCATGACCTTAGGGAGAGCCCATTTTTTCTTTTGCTGCTGTTAGGATGGAGTTCACTAAATCTCTTGTCATTTCTCTGATGATTCTGTCTGTGCATCTGGTTTGTTAGACATGATACTGTTATCATTTAGCAGGATTTAGGGACCCATGTTGATGCTGTGCTTGGCCATGAATCGAGATGATGATGTCGGATGCTTGTTGGGCCTAGTTTCAGCAGAACAGGCAGTTCACTGTATGCTGTCTGACTCTCGGGAGAAAATGTATAAGCCTGTAGGAAATTATGTTTGATAAAAATGTAGAAATTATAGACATTATTTTGCAAGAAGTTGACAGCCTTGGCATTGTGTTGAGTCCTGCAGGTGGTTTTAACAATGGGCTAAAAGCCTAGTAAAGTTGGATCATCTGTGTATTTCGATTTTCTGAGGTCGGTTTAGGGCACAGCAAATTTACTAATTATAGCCATTTTGTTGAAAGTTAGTGCAAGCGACCCTTCACTGCTGTAGATGTGAGGGGGGGGGGGTTGCTTTCCCAGACTAGCAGTCAGTAGATGTTCTTTTTGTCAAGGTCATTATCTAAGCAGGTTGACACTATGTTGGCTCAGTGATGGATTTGTAATTCTCTGTGCTATTGCTGTTGTGGTATTAAGGGATCACTGTTGGTTTTTGGAATGTTGAAGTGGATTTCACTTGGTCTGTTAGAATGATACACTTTAATATCCTTTGAATTGTTCTTAAATTCTCTTCACGTAAATTGCAGAAGTAAAAAAAAAATTGTATTTCTAACACCTGGAATTCTGGTGTAAGGCATCGTTATGTATTGACACTGTGATTTATGTTTTGTTTTTCTGATTTCTGTGATATCATTCTGAATTGGGGGCAGTATATGGTTATATATGTACACTCGAAGAGTCGTGCTTAAATGAGCGTTTTTTTTCGAAAAGCTCTGAGGCATAATTTCTGCCTTCCTCAAGGAAACATATTTTAATTTTTAAGTCTGATTGGTTGCTGACACTTTGTCTGGATGGACATTCTTTCCCATAGTTAAGAAAATATGCCTTGGCCCTGAGAACAACTTTTGTTCCACATCCACACCACTTGTTTCTTTGACCCATATCCACATATGTCATGTGTCACTTTAAATGAATCAGTTTCTGCAAGTTTCTCATTTAAAAGTGAAACAAACAGGCTGCAAAATATCAAACGATAGGACTTTTCCTTTTGTAACATAAAGAATTTTTTACTGGACTGCATGAAATATAACTGCACTTGTCTCAGAACAATTGTGCGCTAATGGTGATTCACTCATAATCGGGTCTGACTGGGTGATTCCCTGCCCAGTGAACTTCTGTGTTCAGAAATGCACATTGGTCTTGAAATAAATTGTCTGTTATTGTCCAATTTTGTCCAACTTGACACGGGGCAAGGCTAATAGGTGCATTTTTTGAACATTTAGTTATGAGGATAAAATTGGGTCTTCAGAAAATGTGGTGTGTGTGTGGACTGGATCCAGCTGGTTCAGGATGAAGTCCACTGACATGCTATTTTGAGCTGTAGCTGTGTGAACATGGCCATTGCCATGTCTGCTTCCAGGTTCTGCTTTCCCATAGAATATGTGATGGTTTGCATGAGCCATCCACCTCTGTTCTTTATCATCAACACCCGTCTCATATTTGTGTTCGCTGTTTACAAACGTCGAATATTTTACCTTATTCATCTTCATTTTTAAAGGTGTCAGGCTAACTGCATTAGTGTCCTCAACTGTTCTGCTTTCTTAATTCTCACTACTGCCACTTGTTGCAGTCCTGTTGAGTCAGCAGACCCATCGTTAGCCGATGAGGCAAACAAAGAGAACTGGGACAACTCAGCTGAGGTGGACATCCACAAGATTTTGCAGACACTGGACAGAGACATGGGGAGTGAAGCTGATGGTGAGCTACTTGCATTTTATAACCATCAAGAGATGGCATATCTTAAGGTTCTGAAGGGATACTGTTTTGCCATGTATGTGAAATGTGGAAACCAAAAAGCTGGGCTGGTGTTTCTGGACAGTAACGTGCGTCGTGATTCTCACAACAGCATGGATTTTGTTGAATAGCGGAGAACCTAGAGGCTGCGTATGAATCCGAAGGAAGATCTGACGCTGCAGTGAGTTGATTGATGGCCTTACTGGCTGGTAACAGATAACAGAACCATGCAGAAGGTAGGGAACAGTATGAGGTCCAATTTTCAAACAAGTTTGCAGCTGTAGAAAACTTGGATGTTGATGGTGATGTGTACATCAGTAGGGCTTCAGAAAATAGTAGACTACAAGCATTTCAGCCAAAGAGAGCGTAGGTCATTACTAGTTGAACCATGATAAACCCCAATTTGATGGAGTGTGTTCACTTTTTATTGGGCAGAAGTAAGCAGCAGGCTGAATAGCAGTGGATGCAGAACCGAAGCCAGGCAGGCAGGCAGTGAGAACTGTCATGTTATTCCATGACCTATTCCTTTTATTCAGTTCTGTGTGTGATGAACACAAATTGATCAGTTTAATTTGTCGGTTACTGTGAGGTTTTTTTGGCAATAAACATGTTGAGCTACTGCCCTGTATAAATACTTTGTAGCTTGTCACTTAAGAGAATATAGAGTGATGGATTTCAGGCAGGTCGTTGGAGGACCAGCTTCCCGGCTCCGTGTGTGACGTAGGGACTGAAGACTATCAGCAGATCTGCAGTGTTCCTGCCATCGTGATGACTCCTGTTTCTAAAATGGAGACTGAGGAGTTGACACCAGAGAGACAAGAAGTGCTGCCACAGGACATTGGGTGAGTTACAATAATGATGACTGCTCTTAAAGGAATGCCAATACGGGCTCATGTTTTGCTGACAGGCGGATGAAATTCATATCTAGGCGAAGTATCTGTTCCCAAGAGTTCACTGTTGACCTGTCACCTTTTTGACAGATACTGGAAGGTACTGAATTTGTCTTGTGTTAAGTAACTCCATGGCTGTTTGAAGCAGAAAGCTTTGTGGTGAACTCTGTCCACACAAAGTGAAGAAGAGCAGAATTGTAGAATTTGAAGTGAATTTAACCTTGAAGATGGAGGCAGCATGTTCTTCTGAAACGTTGGTGTACAGCCAAAAGTCTACATGGCGCGTCAGTCAAGAGTATAATTGTTGCGGTTCAGTGGACTATGACTTGCAGGTTCCCAAACCCACCTGGCAGCAACCTTTGTTGGATGAATGCCACTCTGCAGACATTACTGGGGATGCAGCCATTCATGGAGGAGCTTGAACGCTTCTGTTGGCTTGAGGATCGGAAAGGCCAGTCGGCACTGCTTCAGTCATTCTTTGAGGTGGTGAAGCATCGGCGACGAGGACGTCGCCTATCGCTGCATTCTGCTCTCAGGTAGTAGCAAGACCTGCCTTTTGTTCATAGCATCACAGATGTGGCTTGACAAGTCTGGATGAAGTAAGTCACCAACTCCCATTCCAATTTGCCACTTTTCATCTGCTTGTCCAACCAAAATTTTGTATGCATTTCTGTCTTGTACTTGCTAGTTCCTCTCTGTTATGTCTGAATGTTGTTATTAGCACATTTGCTCTTCCACTGATGTTTTTGACATGTTTGTTGTTCTGCTTCAGACATCTGTCCCGTTCACTGGGCGCACTGGATGTCATGTTCATGAGTGACAGGCAGCAGGATGCCACAGAGTTCCTGGTACGCCTTCTTGATTCATTTCGAGAGCAATTCGGTTCTTCCAAGTCAGACTGCAGCCCAGAAGGTTGGTATTTCATAAATTTGCATCATAACAGGTGTGTTGACTTGTTGTCTATTTCAGTCTTGGTGAACTTGTTATGAATTTGGAAGAATTTGCATTGTCCTGGGCTCAAGACCCTCTTCTTAGCACTTTGGTCTGAGCACTAATCACAATACTATCAGTTGCAAAAGAAAAAACCCTGTGTGGTGCTGGATGCTATCACCGCTGATTCTTCAGTTTCTGTTTTCAGCACTAGAATTAGTGCCAGTTTGTTATACCCTTGCCCCTGTTCAGTTCAGTTTAAACTCTTTTGGTTGTGGGCATTATTTTTATCCGTACTACCAGGATGATTATTCTCTCACCAATCTCAAAACAAAACAGGTTGCAGCTGCTTTGTTTTATGTTCCTCTCCGTGAGATGTTTCAAGTTCAGTCAGTCATTTGTCTCTGTGCTCACTCTTAAAATGTGTCCATGTGTTCTTGTTCTGTTATTTGTTAATTTGCCTTTTAAGGTGACGAGCTTCAGGTACAAATTTTTAAATTTCTTATTCACTGTCTTTCTGCTTTTCCTTCTGTACGTAAAAATCACAACTCTGCTGCCATTAGTCTGTTGATATCTGCCTTGGTCCATGCCCAAGTTTCTGCTTCTTGTATGTCAATATTGGCATGCAGTAATTTAAATTGGCATATTTTCCAATGTTTTTTCCTCACTGATTGGTTCAATTTTCTTGTATTTTTGCTCTTTATTTCTTTGATATCCTCTTCAGCACTTCCATTTGTCACTCTTTTACTTCCTCAGATCTTGTTGCAGAAAATGTGACAGGCGCGCGTGCGCGCACACACACACACATAGGTCTATTAGGTATTCTTCACGTAGAATGTGATGAATACCTAACAACCTATTGTACATATGAATATCATAGTCCTGAGAAATTTGCTTGATAAGCATGTAAATGTCCTGAGCACTGTTTTACCATTGACAGAACGCAAGATGAAGGAGAGCTGCATGCTGCGAGAGCTGCAGTTGGACAATCTGCCAACAAATGGCTCTGCTGTGCAGCGGTTTAAAGGCGGAGAAGGTCAGGCAGACGATAGCGTCCGTAACCCCGTGTGTGACAATGTGGAGTTCTGCCTAAAGGAAACGTATTGCTGCACCAGGTAAGCGCATTGCTTGATATGGAATATCAGCGTTCATTTTGTAAGATGTTGTGGTCTGGGGGCACTGGACTTCATGTTTTATTCCTGACTGACCACACCTGCATGTTATTTGCTTCTGTCAACTTTGAAGAATCGAAAACCGAATGTGAGGAACAACAGCTTTTGCCTGGCAAAATTAATGTCTGTGATAAAAGAATTTCCAAACTTGCTGCTGTAGTCAGTTCACAGTTTCAGTTCTAGATTCTCAAATGCAGTTTATTGAATCAGGTGCCTTTAATTTAATGGTTTGCAGGATCATGTGTGTGCTGCATTCGTATTGAAACCTTCACTAATGTCAAGACTTCACTTTTGTGGCAGACATGAGTTTAACTTTGAAACATCACAGTGATTATTGAAGTTCAGACACGTAATGACTTTTGTCAAAGTTGAACAATTAGAGCATTATTTTTATACTGTAACAATTTTCTATCAGAAGTTCATCCACAGAGGCAGACTGTGTACATGCAATGAAAGATACAGTATCAGGTTAGAAGGTAACAGAATGGAATAATTTTTTTTTTAGTGTGAAGTGTAAAGAAGTGTTTGTTCGCATGATAAATAAATTTCAGTGTTCTCTCAAGTTTTGTAACCACAGCAACAGGTGGAGTCAGTACAGAAATTTCCTGTTGCTGTGTAACTCACGAGTTTACATGTTTTATAATATCCTTTTTAATGCAGTTCTCTCATTTGTATCTTGATGAACTTCCATTGGGATTTTTCAAACAAAATGTTCAGTGCATTTCCGTTTTCCCATGTCAACAAGCTGAAACATTGTGTTCAATATGAAGCACCATGTGAGTGTTTGCAGTTGTTCAGAGATCAGCAACAGATGTCAGGATCACCTCGCTCTATTCCTGGACATTCCACCTATGTCGCAAGCTCGTCCATCGCTGCAAGAGGCTCTGAGTCGCTACATGCAGCCAGACGTTCGGGAACTCAAGTGTGACAGATGCGATGGTCAGCGCAGCAAGGTGGAGACAGCATTCACTAAACTGCCAAGGTTTGACTCTGTGTTATGTGTGGGAGTTGTTTAGTGCTACTTCATCAACAGTCTGATTTAAGAATTTAGTGTTAATCTGGCTGAATTGTGTCCGCAGGTTTCTGTTGGTACAAGTGAAGCGCTATGCCGTTCAGACGGCCGTAGCCGAGAAGGTGACCAGTTCTCTCCGAGTGCCCATCAGTCTGTCCGTTAAAAACTATGTTATGGATGATGTGGTGATGCCTGCACCTTGGTTACCCCACAGGTTAAGTGCTGCTTCCTTTCAAACCCAATCTGACCAACAGGTGTGAAAAATACCAACATAGAAACCGTCATAGAATCAGCAATGCCATTTTGTGTAATGTGTGGCGATATGTTTTAGAAAATTTTGAACTTTTATTGGGGTTGTTTCTTATGTATTTATTTTCATAATGTATGTGATTATGCAAGATGACCGACTAGTTACTACAACATTGCTGTTTAATTTTTTGCAGTTCGAAGGACAGCGATCCATTGCAGTTTTCATTGGATGATGATGATGACAAGGAACTGCAGGTTAGTGAGCATGCTGCAGCAAAATTACGTAAATTATCATGACCAAGATCTGTTGGGGACTGGATGCATTGTGTGTGCCAGTGTCTGAAGTGAAAGTGTAAGGCATTAAAAGAGTGTCCATATCCTTCAGATTTTGATCCATCCACTATAATTATTGAAGATTTCTATCTTCTGGGTTGCTGCGCTGTGTAGTTATTCATCGCCCAGATGATGGAGGCAGTATGACCTCTGAAACATTGGTTGACATCGACGAGACTACACAGCGCAACAACCCAGAAGACAGAAATCTTCATACTCACCGCTGTGAGAACCTCAAATCTTACATAACTATAATCATTTTCTGAAGGTTTGTTACAGCGATGTTTATCATCATGGTGATGTTTCCTTCGGGCACTGCATGAAAACATTTTGAAGACTGGCTCACCGTTACTTGGTTTTATATGCTCTTTCATGCAAATATCCCTCAATGTGTGACTTTTGGTTTTCACGGTATTGAAGATGTAGATGTTTTGTGGATTCCTGTGTGCTCGCCACAGAAGATAATTACAGGAGTAGTGGAGTACCCCTAGCCTAGTTCTTCTGACCCTCTCCCTTCAGTCCTAAAGACTGAGGTAGGATTTTTCTCAGAAACATCAAAATCTTTCTTTGATTCCAAACATTATCACAAAGTTGAAGAACTTCATCTATGGTACCGTAACGTCTCTTATTTGTAACTTTTTAATTTACCACTGACAATTATAACACATGTAATTCACTTCTTGTTCATTGTCCAGTGATAAGGACATTGTATATAAGAGTGTTACGCAGTGGACCACACGTGGGGTCAGTCTCTGATTTGTTATATATCTTGTTTTTTTTGTGACATTACCATTACATGGTCTCTGTTGGTTTATGTTGCATAGTCAAAACAATCATGCTTTTTTTTAGGAGGCAATGCGTCAGAGTCTGGATGATAGCGGGAAGGAGATAGACCTGGAGGCACTGGAGCTGGAGAAAGCAATCAGGCTTAGTCTGCAAGAGCAGGGGCTCACTCAGGAGAAGGAATGCAGCTCCCAGCTGGTGAGAACTGTGATGCTCTGAACTTATTGCAACCAATGTCTTTTGTGCTCAGAATGTCCTAGGTTTGATTGTTACTGAGATCTCAACACAGATTTTCCTTCGTGCAGATGAAAACCAAAACTTGGCATTGCAGTTTCTTTCTATATGCGTTATATCTTTGGCACAGATATCTAGTGTCTTATCAGACATTGAGGTTTGAATTATGTGCAGGGGGATGCTGATGTGCCAGTGAGCGAACTGGAGGGAGAAGATGAGAGCCCTGACCACAGCTACAGGCTTGTGTGTGTCATCATGCACCAGGGCATCTCCCCCAACTGTGGTGAGTATTTACACTCCTGCTGTGACAAAATGAAGGTCTAGCGCTGAAGAATGATATTTTTCCCGGTTAAATTGTACATTACATTTTGTTTGGAAGCTGGAATGAGCATTTGCTGCTAATATGATGTCAGATGAATAATCCAGGACTGAGTGCAAGTAAGGGAGTTTCTTTCTGCTGTGTAATTATTCACAGTTGTATAGCTAAACTTTAAAAAATTCAAATCTGGATGAAAATGGAAATTTAGAGCACCCAAAATATTAGCCTGTTAGCGGTAGCAGCATTGATGAAAGCAAGACAACTTCTCTTGGGCCACCGACAGGGTAACGAGGAAATGAACGACCCAACAAGCGGACGATATAGAATTAAGGTGATAATGAATGAAGAGAGATGCATTTTCTGGTCATCTGCTGCTAAGTCGAGAATCAAAAATTACTGAATGCATTTCTCCAAGTACCTTTTTTTTTTGTCAAATGACAAAGTGTTTATGATGGTAACACAGTTGAGTCACATGTCCTAGGGGAGCCTAGGAGAAAGCAAAACCATTGTCAATGTTCTACAACAAGTAGAAGATGACATGGACAAATTGGATGAGCTGCTGTCATATTAGTTTCTAGTCTCTGGTGCAGGGCAATGGGGACAGTTGCCACAGGGTTCAAATTAAAAACTGTCATTCCATGTCCTTTCAGCCCATCATGTTATAAACGTAAGTTACGCTGGAAGTGTCATTTCATGTTGACTTTGATATGAATTCTTCTGAAACTGTTAATTGCACCCTCAATTCAAGGCAAGTTTGTTTGCAGGTCACTATGTGGCAGATGTATATAACTTGGAGCAGCATCAGTGGTACCACTATGATGATGAGGTTGTGTCGCATCCTACTGAAGATGAGGTTGTTGGCAGTGCTCGACAGCGCAATGGCTATGTCTTCTGCTACATGCACAGGTGCTGTTGAGTGGAAAACTGCATGTCCTGTATTCTACAAGTACATTGCGCACTTGTTGACACGTGGTTTGTGGATGTTTGGAAACGGAGTGCTGAGAAAATTAGTACCCTATGAGAGCAGCATAACGTATAAAGCGGAGGAAATCGCATAAGAGAGAATTTAATGGTTTATACAGTTGCTATATTATAATTAGTTTGTTTTGTTTAGGTTATGTTCAGCTGTATGAGCAAGAATTATGTAGACATTTTAGCTTAAAAACACCTGAAAATCTGATGCTACATTTTATCTCGTGGCTGTCGCGTGTTACAGGCAGCTGTTCGATCAACTGACGAAGAACACGGACAAGTCTTGAAGCTGGTAGCACAGCAGGAGTGTGGACACATCATGAATCTTGAAGGATGCGTGCGCGCGCGCACACACACCTGAGCAAGAACATCTGCACATTGTGGTTTTTGATAGATGCATGCCATGTCAGCAGTGACGTAGGCACAGTGTGGATCTCGAAGCATTTGTACGTAGCCGAGCAGGAACCTGTTCGCATTGTGGTGATTGATAGATGTAAACTTTGGTGTTTCAGGATCTCAGAGCACATGCACACAGGTGTTACATGATCGGGTATGTGGACATGACTGTGAGGTATAATTAGCTGCAGATACATGTATATAGTCTATACTCTCTTGAAGGCTTACACACCTTTGAAATACTTTTGAGATATTAAAACATTGCTATAGTAGGAGGTTTTAGTAGAAATAAAACCAGTTTCTCTATTGAAAAAACAAGACTGCATATGTATTTATTTATTTACTCAGAGTCCTGACAAGTGGCAGGTTAGAGATGAAGGAAGAACTAAAAACTAGAATTGCCAGATGAACACCTCAGCATGGATTTCTGGGAATGATTGGAGGGGAAAACACATATTCAGCCATCCATTTGTATGCAGATATGCCAATTAGGTTTCAGTTTGTGAAAGCATAAAAACACTGGTGGCTTCTGAACCAAGAACATCACTTTTTGTTGTGGGCAGGCGCCTAATGGTATTTTAAGCCACTTTAGTAGCCTCCAGATTACCATTGCTGTGTGTCTGTTTGTGTCACTTCTTCTATTATAAACTTTTATGTTTATGTAATCTGTTGCACTAAAAAAAAGAGTTCCCACTCCCTCACAAAGGCAGACTGTGAAGAATAATATACACAGGAGATGCACACTGAAGGTTGCTTAGGATAATATTTGGAC